TTACTCTTCTCTTTTAATCATGTTCAATCAAGTGGGACTTAGGAATAAAAAATAATAGAAAGAGAAGACACGGACCAAGGTTGTGTGTGCAGTTGATCAATATCACTCCGAATTAACCATCTTCATCAAAAGAATATTTATTGACATTTTGATCAATAAAGAAGTTAATAGAAATAATAATAATAATAATAATAAACTTGAGGCGTAGTGTCAAGAACTTGCCATCACAGAAAATTCCATCCTTGAAAATAAGACCATTGTTGTCTTGTCAATTCGAAGCAAAGAAAAAAATAGTTCTGGTAAATCACATATATGCAATTTGTGATATTTTCAATTAAAAAGACCAAGAAACTCCAAGTCAATTTGCGAAATTGATGAGACCTAAATTTCCAAAGTTACGTCTTCAAACATGCACGTCACCATGTGCTCTGGACTTTTTGCACCTATATACTACCTAGTGTGTTGTTGGTTGCACTTTGTTCTTGTTATTGTCAAACAGTAAATGGATTGTTCAATCTGTCAAACAAATCATGCTCTGGACTTGGTAAAAAAAAAAAAGTAGAAAGAGAAGACACGGACCAAGGTAGAAGAAAGGAATAAGACGAAAAGAACAAAAAAATTAACATGATGCATGCATAACCTTTGTTTTCATTACCAACGCACTTCCCAAGTCTGCCAAAACAAATAGCAATGGATCTCCACAGTCCACACAATCCTTTGTTTTCATTTCCAACCCTTTTGTTTATTCCAAAGGGGATAATATTTATTGACATATATATCTCTCAAAAAAGAAGTATTTTATGACTTAAATCAAGAACTTAGATCTGATTAATAAAAAAGTGTAAATGCAACCAAATATTCATTACAGAAAATTCCATCCTTGCAATCAACGTTGATGTCAATTCGAAACAAAAGAAAAATGACCAAGTCAATTTGCCATTAAATTAAGGTGCTACGAAACTTCAAGTCAATTTGCCATAAGTCATAGGCCAAATATAGTTCTAAAATAATGCAAAACCTATCTCCAGTTATGGGATGAAAAAAAATTTGGCCAAATTTGGAGGGCCACATTTGGCCCTTTAGTCCTCCAACCAGGCCAATTGTAGCCCAACTTTGGCCTAGGCCAATTTATAACCCTGAACTATATTTAACCCTATGACTAAAGATGGCCTTAGCAACCACACAAGATGAAACAGCAGTAGAACTACTACTAGTTTCGAGAGCATGCGAATCGACACGTTGCCCATAATTTTTTTGATATTTTTTGAGTGCATTCTTAGCTAAAGAATCATCTGTGAAAGTGAAAGCTGGAGAGCTATCTATTTATGGACAGGCCATGTGATCAAATGGTTGAGCAATAAACATTACGTGTTTGACTTCAAGTCAAGTAGCAATGCATTTATGGGTATTGGACGTGTTCAGCATCAGCTCTTTCCTCATCGTTTCTTCGGTTTCTTGGCCTGACTTTTGAGTCTTTGTTTTGTGGAAATTGTTTTGGCACCACATGTGAGATTTCTCTTGTCCTCTTGAGAGTTCACATATAAGGGCTTGTTCTTTCATCATTGATTGTTTTGTTTTTACAGTATTGGTTCTTGAGGAGAATTGCTTTTGGTGGGTAATTTGCTGTAAGGAAGACTTCCTGAGGAGCTTGGGACTTTAAATAATAGTAAATAAAAGAAACAAAACATATGTACTGTTTGTTTTCCCTTCCCTCTGGGTTTCTTTACCCTCCGTTTAGATGAGATTTGGAATTTAGCTAAAAGCCAGGAGTTTAAAAGGAGAAGTTGACAATTCCCATTTTTGGTAATTTAAGCCCGAAATTTATTAAATGAAGCGCATAAAAAATTGGGGAAATTGGGGCATCAAATTCTTGAGTTTAATTTCCACTAAAATAGGCGTCATTTCACAATTTCCATAGTGCCTTTACAAAATCGACATATATAAATTCAAACATTGAAATCTTCAATTGCTAGAAATTAAAATGATGGAAATCTAAAATACATCATTTTAGAATTCTATGTAATTTTCACTTCCTTTCATCCAAACAGAATGAAATCAGATTTTGACCGAAAAAAAAAAAAAAGACATTGTAATATACTCTATCTTTATATCATATTAATCAAAAAGCGCGACATTGTGAAAAAAGGAACAAATTCTTTGATTGGTCATATATTCTAAAAGCAAAAGCAATGTAATTAAGCCCACTCAAATATAGCAATTAAGCCCTACAAATCTAACATTAATAAGAAAAATAGACGCACTATTATTACATTTTGGGTTGATTACAAATGTCTTGGAGAAACAAAAGCGCCCTTACATTACATGTTACATGTTGTGGTTGCATTTTAGTAGCTACGTCAGATTTCATATCTATTATTTTGATGAATTCAAACTTATTAAACGAGCCCATACTTTCTATCAACTGGTGAATATTGTTTTTGAGACACAGAGAGACTTAATTAAAAAGGCTAGGGAGGCCCTCTTGAATATTATTCAGACCCCAAAAACAATAAATAAATAAAAGAGGGTTGAAAGTGAGAGAGAACGGGGGAACACAATTCGATGGAAAGAAGGCCCTCTTGACAAAAGCACCCTTCTACACGTTAACTTTTCCAAGTCAAAGTCATAAATTACATGGGTTAGATCAGCAGCTAGAAGATGAGCAGTAGTTCCATGCTAGAAAAAATGCCTTCAATTGGTCTGATCATCTGATCTATGAATATCAATGGAGAGTTAGCTGGTATTGGAATTTTTTTTTTTCGATACAAGTGATATGTGGGGGAGGGGGATTCAAATGCACATGAATTCAGACCCCAAGGTTAAAGTGTGGATCATCCCTTGGCTCAATTTGGGCTGCAGGAAGGCAACCAATTTTTATGGGAAGGGGTGGGTCCGATATGGATTGAATTTTTACTAGAAAATGACAGAAATAGGGGACAGTTTTTTCTGTATTGTGGTGTTGTGTCTTTTTCCTTGACTGGATTTCCTCCACTAGGGGGCTTTTATGGCAAGGTTTTAACGATGCCACTTTGTAGCACCTAGAGAAATGAACGTTAAACTGCCCCTTGCGTTAGCATTAATTTGTTGCCTTCGTTATTGAGCAACTGCTGGACTGAATTTGTCTACATTGACGTTATAATGCACGATCTTCATAGAAAAGTTTTCCAAACCCATAGCTCTGGTTTTAGACAACTGATTTTGCATTTTGCAATTAGCAGCAACCATTGTAGGTATATTTGAGGCTTTGGAAAGGTTCAATTTCATTTCATCAAATGTACTCTGCTCAATTAATGATTAAAATCATTGTATTTCATACAGAAAACTGCAAACATTATGAATGCATTGAATCAAAATAAAGAAAAACATGCAACATTCGAACACCTTTATTTGCATTAATTCGCATAACTACAAGTACAACTAGAAAGACAGAGCAAGGTTTCGTGGAAGGAGAAGTAACTCATATCTTGAAAAGTGCTTTGATTTAAGGAAAATGCTAGAGGCACCAACTCTCTAATAGAGCGTGGGACCCATTGTATTGGCGGGCTCCACCTCTATTAGAGAGTTGGTGCCCAAAGTTGGTGCCTCTAGCACCACCCTTAACATTGTTTGAACATGACCTGTATACAGTGGCGGATCCACCATGGGGTCAATGGGGTCAGACGACCCCATGGCAGATCTGGATTTTAGTGGTAGGGACTGGTTTTTGCCCTTGGCAGCCATGAAAATGACCCCATGGAGAAGAAAAAGCTTCAGTGGGCAGCTGGGGTTCTTTTGTTTTTTTTGTAAAAACTGCTTGGCAAAACGACGTCGTTTTGGCCAAGGCAATTTTTTTAAAATGACTTAGCCAAAACTACGTCGTTTTGGGCTAGGACATAAGAAAAAAAATAAAATAAAGGGGGCTGCAGCTTCTTAACAGCACAGACCCTAAAATAAATCTCCAAAATCCCATTTTGGGTAGTTTACACTATGACCCCATGAGTGGCAATTCCTGCATCCGCAGCATATGTTTTGAATAATAAAACCATTTAACGTTCAAATATATGCAACTTGAAATATCACCATGGACCCCGAAAACTTGCGCTAAAAATACAACTACCAACCAAGAAAAAGAAGCAAACAAATAGAAGGAAAAGGAAAATCCAATAACTATAAACAATTTAATTTTCTCTTCGGCTACATATGTACATCTACACGCATATATATTGAACTTCAGGTGCAGACTACGCAATGCCAATGGCTGCTCAATTTTTGGGTTATCTTTTTCTGATTTTTGTTCCCATGTTGCAACAGGGTTTAACACTTCAGGGTGTAAGTTAGTTTTTAACATTTAGAGTTTAGGGCGTTTAATATTGTATCACAGACATAGAAGCAGAAAAGAAACATTAATCGATTTGGTGCAAGAAGGTCAAAGCAATCAAACCAACAACTAGAGATTCACTGATGAGAAAATGGACCAAAAGATGAAGCAAGTTTTGCACGCTCACTCTTGTAGTCACTCCATGTTCCTTGTGAAAACAAGCGAAGCACATCCAGGTTCACAGAAGTCTCTGTTCCTTCAAGCTGCAAATATTACAGAATCAAAAGAACTATTCCTACAATGACATTCCTAGTATGAAAACCCAATAACAATAATAAACAATTTAATTTTCTCTTTGGCTACAACAAAATTCTGATTTAGACATTTTTTGTTCATAATCAATGACCTAACTCCTAAAACAACAGAACCCTTCTCTCAACCAAAACAAGAATAACATTTCTGTTTAGCTAAGAACAACATCCCAAATAATTAAAAATTAAAAATATACCACATCATATTCCACCACATCCATTGGCCATCATTAATTGGGGGAAAAAAAAAAACCAGTTGTAGCAGTGAGGATATCGTCTCCTATTTCCTAACTTAACATTCAAATTCTCCATTCATTCTTAGTTTCTACCACCACAGAGCAGAAAAGGAAAATTCACAACAAAACAGAGAAGGAAAGAAAAAGAAAAGAAACCTGAAGAACATTAGGAACGGCGAGAATCTCGGAGAAGGCGAAGAGAGAAGGGTGCGAGGGGGCTTCGACGACGAGGGAGCCGAGGGCAGAGCCTTCGAGAGACGAGGCTTGCTTCACGAAATGATCGATGATCTCTTCTTGCTTTTGCTCAATGTCCATCTCTAGAGCACAGAAGTAGGATCCGCAATAATAGAAAAAAAAAAAATTAAATCAAAAAATGGATAGAAGACGGTGAAAAGTTCAACAGTGGAGAGTTAGGTTTTCGGTGGGTCAAAATTTGGGAGATTAGAGAGGGGTTTTGGAGTGAGGGAATTGGAAAGTGGTTTTTGAGAGAGAGAGAGAGAGAGAGAGAGGATCTCTGAGGAACCACCACCCCAATAAAAGCTGCATAGACTGATTCTGTTTGAACCCAACGATTGCTCTTTTTTTTTGGTTTGTTCACAGAACAAGATTGCTGCTCGGTTGGGCCATCTCTCAGCAGTCAAACTCCAAAATTGGGTTTTCAGCCCAAAACTTGTATTTGCGCGGGCCAAACTTTAAGAAATGCAAAAGTTTGGCCGAAATTCAAGACCACAAACCAGACGGACTGGAAATTTGTAAAGCCCAGTTTTACAGCCCACTTGACCTCTCGGTTTGTCTCGTAGTGCCATCAAGAGTGGACCCTCTTGTGTTAGCTTGGTATGGAATACCCTTAGGCTGTGTTTGGCAGGCCTCACTGGACTGGACTAGCTTAAATAGTACTTGAAACCCATATTTGAACTAGCTTAAATAGTACTTGAAACCCATGTTTGGTAAGGTAATGGACTAACTTAATGAGATTATATAGTCCAACAGTAAACAAAACCTCTCACTCGCTCCGCTAATTTAGAGAGGTTGAAAAGTGGTTCGCAATATAGTGCCCTCGCTAGATTGAACACACGAGTCCGAACTAATTCTTCTTCTTCTTAAACTGAAATTGGATTTTCTTTATTTGTGTTTTCAGTAAACCATATTCACTGAAGTCAGATCCTTGGCTTGAATCAACCACCCCCCCCAACAATCAACCCATCAGACCACCACCATGAGTTTACCTAATTTCTGCAACTAAACAAACCCAAATCACTGGCTGGACAAGATCGAAGAGGACGTGTGTGGAAAACGCATTTGCTGAAGCCTTTGCCTAGGGCTTTCTCAATTGAATAAAAAGGAGTCAAAGGGGGAGAAGAAGAATTGTGGGAAAAAGGGGATGTGGAGGTGGGTTCCGATGGGAATGAGAGAGAGAATTAGGGAGGTTTATGATTAAAGGAAAAAAAAAATTAGAGAGAAAAAAGGGATGTAGAAGTGAGTTGCGATGGGAGAGATAGAGAATGAGGGAGGTTTTTGAATAAAGATAACAAATAGAGAGAAAAAAAAAAGAAAGATAAAAAGAATGAGGATGTTGGGTTGCGATGGGGGAGAGAGAGAGAGAAGGAGGGAGGTTTCTTGTTAAAGAAAAAAATAAGATAAAAAGAATGGGGAGGTTGGGTTTCTGACTAAAGAAAAAGAAAATAGAGAGAAAAAAAAAAGATAAAAAGAATGAGGAGGTTGAGTTGGGTCTGAATCTGATGATTTTTTTATTTTTTATTTAACATAATTTTAGCCTTTAAAAAAATAACAGAATTTTAGTTGTTTTCTTTTTATTATTGTTTTAAATCTAATTATTACAATATTTATTTTTTAGTCCAACATAGGTCTTCACTATTTTTACAATTCAGCTTCTCAATCCAGCTTCTTAGTCCGACGTGGCACCAAACGTAGGTCAATACTTAATCCAACTTAGGCCAATCCAAGCCAATCCAACACGGCTCCGTCGTAGCACAATATTGTCCGCTTTGGGCCCCCCCTCTTTGCCCTCACGGTTTTGTTTCTGAGAGCTCACGAGCAACTTCCCAGTGGGTCACCCATCTTGGGATTGCTCTGGCCCCAACTCGCTTAACTTCGGAGTTCCCATGACTTCGAAGCCAGTGAGTTCCCAAAAAGCCTCGTGCTAGATAGAGGTGGGCATGTACATATAAGGCACATCACTCCCTCTTCATTAGTTAATGTGGGATGTTACGATCCACCCTCTTTAGGGGCCCAACGTCCTCATCAGCACACTTGCACCACATGGCAGAGTGGCTCTGATACCAAATTGTCACATCCCAGGATCGGCTCCGCCGTAGCACAATATTGTCCACTTTGGGCTCCCCTCTCTACCCTCACGGTTTTGTTTCTGAAAGCTCACGAGCAACTTCCTAGTGGGTCACCCATCCTGGGATTGCTCTGGCCCCAACTTGCTTAACTTCGGAGTTCTCATGACTTCAAAGGCAGTGAGCTCCCAAAAGGCCTCGTGCTAGATGGAGGTGGGCATATACATATAAGGCACATCACCCCTCTCCGTTGGTCGATGTGGGATGTTACACAGTCCATGACAGTCCGCCGTACCAAACGACCCCTTATGGTATAACTCCTCCACATGTCATAATAAGAGTGGATGACTATGTTAAAATTTCCCACTTTTAGGGTACCTCGACACATTATATCATACAACCATACTCTAGTACCACACTATAATTATTTGCACCTAGCCTTCTCCATTTAAACTGTCCAGATTTAATTTAAGTACTTTTATGAAGGCTATTCTAAGGTCAGTTTTCTGACAATTGATGCATGTAAGGTCTACAATAGATCAATGGTCAAATTTCGTGAACAAACGACATTACTTTTTAGTTGAAAAGAACAGTTGTTTGCACTTCAGACTAGTGATCATATACCCCTTCTTTATAAATAAAAAGAAACATGTAACAAATGACTATACGATAACTATTTTAGAGTGCCAACAACAACTCTCTTATTTCATCATATAACTAAGGATATAAGGGTGTAGAATCCAACATGTAACATAGAGGTGTTATAATTTGTACTTAATCTATTGTGCAGTCTGAGCTAGATAAATATGAATGGAAGTGAATTGTGAGAGAACTAGAATTAGAATTTACAGATTGGACTCAAAATGTCGAGCCACAAGATGGGGATGGGAACAACCGACCATGGTTTGAAATTTACATACACTTTGATCTTTGGTCTTTGATTTGATCTTTGCTATGCATCAAGAAATAAAAATACTCGGACCAATAAGGACACAAAAGGCAATTGCCATGAAGTATTTGTGATATTTTGCTTGTAATTGCCATACATACATGCAATTTTCTTTTTTACAAATTTATTTTATTCAACGATCCGTAAGCCATCGCACATATATAAACACATGATAAGGAATACATGCAACATAAAAACAAGCAAAATATAACATCAAATGCATAACCTTATAACAAACTTATGAATTTCTGCATCACTCTACCTTTTTCTTATCATTGATCTGATCATTTCTACAATCTCAATAAATAACTCCTTCCTCCTTGTGATCACAATGTCAGCAAGAACCACTCCCACTCTCGATCCCGGCCAAAACAAATTTCCAATCATATCCAATTCTAGAGCCTGAATCGTCTTCTTCTCTGCTTGAAGGTGGCAGTTGAGGGGTCTCAGCATTTCCACATTTCTTAGGCAGTGGATCCCCACACAAGCCAGGGTTTCCTTCACATGAAGAGCTTTTGAACAAAGTTAGTTGGGTTCCATGTGGTAAAGCATGCATGGAAGTGAAAATGTGAGAGAGTTATAATTTATAGATTGGACTCAAATTATTGAGCAATAGGAGCACAGGACTAAATTTCAAACAAGATGGGGATGGGGAACAATGATGGTTTGAAATTTGCATCTACTTGCAAGAACATGTTCTTGACTTCAAGTGAGTTCATTTTGACTTGAAGTCAACTCGTCCAATTACCCAAAATATATGGCATTCAGATAGATGTTATTTGATCTTTGTTCTGCATCAAGACATATGAAGTTTCCATCAGGATCACTATACTAGTACCTTATTTTCAAACTTGAGAAGTTCATTTTTCTTGAAGTCAAGTCATCATCCAATTAAATGTCTCTTTGGCCATGCCATTTGAGCTTTGGTCTTCGCTAATCACTCTGGATGCTATCCCTGTTGAAATAAAAAATTCATTGTCAGCAAACTAAATTCTGGCCCAAGTTTAAAGAAGTGGGGCTCATGTTGCTAAATTAATTTAGGCCCAAAATGAATTAATATTAATATTTTTACAAGAAAATATTAATGAATTGAAAGTAGTAACAGGATATGCTTCATGTACGGAGTTGAGGGGCTGACTGGAAATGGGAAGTTACTCCCACATACAGCACCCACGCAGTACGTGAGCCTGTAACTGGCTCCACTCCTTTCAGTTTCTCTAGGTCTATAAAAGGGACCATTAGTGAGCAAAGGAAAAAAGAGGACAGAGAGAACGGAGGAGAGAAAAAACAGAAGCAGAGAACAAAAGTAAAAACGCAGAAGAAGAAGTATCAAACTACGACAGAAATCCAAGGGGAGATACGAAGCTCTGTCACAATACTGTTTGAGAAGGTATTAAACTAACTCATTTCAACATTCTCCTATGTACAGCTAACTTGCAGGCAAAAGAGAGAGTGTAAAAGAAATTATGCAGAAGCCTTGGCAATGGAAGATGTAAACAAATCTCTTCAAAATGATGATAATGGTGTTGCTTACACAAAGAGAGCTCTCGCAAGGACTTCTCTGTTGTGAATTACAGATGGGTTTCTGCAAGAAACCCACAGTACTGAGTGCTATGAACACATTGCGAGTGTTCATGGGCACATTGTGGTACTTAGAGAAGACCTTGCGAGTGTTCTTGAGTACCGAAAATAGAAAATGGCGAGTTTCATCCTAACCCACCTTCAGCACAGTGAAATCCCAAGTCTGCAAATTGGAGAACGAAGAGATAGCCCACGAAAGTCACCAAGACAGCTATCCTCTGCAGTAATTTGCAAACACCACAAAGGGTTCTCACTCTGTTATTAGCGGTACGATTGCCTTCCCAAAAGATCTTTGTCTGCAATCAAATGAAGAAAAATTGCACCGAAGCATTAGACCATTGTTACCAAGGGACCAGAAGGGAGCAGAAAATTCAAAATGGTCTTTGAGCCCAAAACAATACAGTCAAGTCTTCAAGGAGATGATGAAAATAAAAATCACATACAAAAAGCAAAGCAAGGTCCCAAAAGGTAAAAGAGCTTATCGACACCAAGGGCCAGAGCAGCAAATTAATG